TGACATGTACATAACCAAACATTCAACAATTGTAGGAACCTCAATCTACTGATCAACCCACTAAGATTAATCTTCTTTTTCCTGAAGCTTTCCCAATTAGGCTCTTTTCGCAAAGGAGAAGAAATTTCATAGGGGAGAACTAGAGCTTCATTTTTTATTCCATCTTGAACTTATTGTCATTGATTATTCTTCCTCAAAAATGGGGTTTTTTTTTCATTAGTGTTTTTTTTTCCAACGATAGAAAATTCTCATAAAAGCCAAATAACAAGGTACAATACAAGATATTCGCGCCTACCAACAGGTAGAAAATAAACTGAGAGGCACACTAACAATAGTGGTCTAGACATAACCCACCCGGGGTATCAGTAGGTACATGCACCTGAGTCATGATAACTCCAACCAACAGCTACTAACTAGAAAACCACTCACACAACAAACTACAACTAATAAAGCTAACTAAAAACAACCAGCAAATACAAGGGAAAACCCAAACCATAAACCAACACATAATCAAAAGAGGAGGACACAAGAAAATGGCCAACACCTAGCAGCTTCAAGTAGCAAACAATTATCTCAGATCCCTGAACTCCTCCCATTCCCTCATAGCTTTCCTCAAAATGATTGTATCTGGCACTCTCTTCTTGCTAAAAACCCAGAGATTCCTAGCTCGCCAAAGCCACCATAGTGTGTAAGTGGAAAGTTGGATCCTAGACTCTGCAGTTTCAGACTTCTTGATGTCACATACCTACCACCACCATGATTTGAATTTAATCCCCTGCAGCTCAATACCATCCCAAGAGACTGTAGCCATCTTCCAAACATTTCTGGCTTTTTGGCAATGTAGAAACAAGTGCTCAATAGATTCCTCAGATTCTCCATACACTGGACATATTGCATCAACTGCAACTCCTTTAAACAGCAGGTTCACCCCCACAGGTAAAATACCTGTACAACACTTCCAAATGAAGTGTTTAATCCGAGCTCTCACTTTCAGTTTCCAGCTTCTCTCCCTAACCAATTTATCCTTCTTCCTCGAGCTACTACTCTCAGGAATATCCAGAGATTTCACCTTCTCAGCCATCAGATAGGAATAAGAATCTGCCACTAAGAACTCACCTTTCATGTTCAGCCCCCAAACCCATTTGTCATCCCTATCTACTGCAATTGTTTTGATGTTAAGAATAGCAACACTCACCTGTTGAGGGAAGAGGGAATTTACTAGCTCAGAATTCCACTTCCTACCTGAGCTTTCAAGCAGCTCCCACACCCAAGTTGGGTTATCATCATTTGCAAACTGGAAGTTAGTGCTGTTGGTAAACGGATTTGTATCAACGAAAATATACACCCCTATTCTATGAATAATCGGTGTTGGATTAATCAGCATATATATTGATGTGTAGGAGATGAATATATATCTCATTTCTTGGTATTATTGTTGGAGGAAGACAATGAATCGTCCCCCCCATTCTCTCTCATCCTCACTCTATATACACAACTCCCTGCCCCTTTACAAGTGGGCCACCAATAAAAATAAAAAATATTACATGAGCATTTATTGTGAGATGACATCGTGGGGCCCGGTTGTGACACTTGACGGCTCCGATTGACGTCTACTTTATCGGCAATTATTGTGTCTAACGGATGTGAATCTTCTCGATATTCGGGTCGAGCTAGCGACACTTAATTCTTCTCGGCTCGAACGTGGGCGATCCGAACCTTTCGAAACTCGGTTGATATTATATAATCAGCTAGGAATACCTGCTATTTCATATTTATCTAATACATATCCACGTGTCGTACTCCCATTAATCGAGGTAAAATTGTGTATCAACAAGTGCATTACCCCCACAATCAGGAATCCAGCCTCCCTCAAGGATTTTTGTATTTCTCCCTGATCTAATCTCCTTTCAGCAAAAATTTTAAAGGATAGGAAGAACCTTTAACCAATTTGACCACATCCAAGAAGCAGACTCTTTCCTCTCAGCTTGAAAAATTGAAGTAGTAGGGAAATACTTACTTTTCAACAGCTTAGAAACAAGTAAATCAGGCTTACTGTTAATTATCCACAGCTGTTTTAACAGAAAAGCTTCATTGAATAGCTTGTAGTCTTTGAACCCCAAACCTCCATTCTCCTTTGGCAAAGTTAACATGTTCCAGTTCTTCCAGTGAATCCCTTTCTCATGAGCTCTCCCCTTACTCCACCAGAATGAGGCTGTTAAACTTGCTAACTCCTTACAAATTCTATATGTAAGCTTGAAACAAGACATTATAAACATAGGTAAGGAGTTTATAACAGCTTTAATCAAAGTCTCTTTCCCAGCAGTAGACAAGAACTTGTTCTTCCAACTGATTAACCTTTGCCTCACAGAATCAATGACAAAGTTGAATGTTTCTTTCTTAGATTTACCAACACCAAAAGGGAGGCCAAGATATCTTGAGGAATTATGAGCTGTTAAACCATCCAACACTGTACAAATGTCAATTCTGATTTGTGGAAGTGTATTCTTGCTAAAAAACACTTTTGACTTAGAAAGGTTCACTCTTTGGCCAGAGAAAATTTCATAATCCTGAAAGAATCTCCATTAGAAGCACTGCTTGGTCAATATCAGCTTTACAAAACACCAAAAGATCATCTACAAATAAAAGGTGGGTGAATAAAGGGCCACCTCTTGCCAATCTCAGACCTCTGAATGCCCCATCACTTGCAGCATTACCAATAAGAGCAGATAGGGCCTCAGAGACAATAAGGAAGAGATAAGGAGATATAGGGTCTCCTTGCCTCAGTCCTCTAGAGGGATTAACAAAACCAACATCTTCACCATTTAGCATAAAAGAAAAAGTTCTTGTAGACACACAGAACAATACCCACTTGACAAAGGTTCTTGCAAAACCGATTTTAATCATCAAAATATGCAAACATCTCCACTCAACTCTGTCATAAGCTTTCATCATGTCTAGCTTTAAGGCCATGAAGTTGTGCTTCCAATTTCTGTGTCTGTTCAAATAGTGGTAACTCTTCTGTGCAATGATCACATTATCTAGTAACTATCTTCTAGGAATAAATGCACTCTGAGTGGAGCTAATACAAAACTGCGGGCACTTCTTCAATCTATTTGCCAGAATTTTAGAAATAAGTTTGTACACCACTGCACATAGGCTAATTGGCCTGTATTGATTCAAGGAACTTGAATTATTATATTTGGGAATTAATGTGACCAAGGTATGGTTACAATATCTGAGAAATCTGCCAGATTGAAAAAAACTTATAATAGCCTTACACAGATCTTGTTTAATTACTGGCCAGAAATGCTGGTAGAACAGTGTAGTCATCCCTTCTTCACCAGGTGCCTGCAATGGATTCATAGCAAAAAGGCAAGATTTTATCTCTTCTTCTTCCACTACTGCTGTCAGATCTTCATTCATTTCTGTAGTGATAGTAGAAGTGATTAACTGTAAAGTTCTGTCCTCTCCTCTAGACCCTTCTGATGTGAATAGCTTCTGTTAGAATGAGGAGATATGATCCTGAAGCTCTTCTTTAGATTGAAGAACTTTGTTCCTGTAATCAATCATCCTGGTAATAGCATTTCTTTTTCTTCTTTGAACAGTCACAATATGGAAAAATCTAGAATTTTGATCCCCCTTCTTCAGCCACATCTCCTTCAGCCACATATTTCTAGATTTCTGCTGCCAAAAGAGTTCCTCAGAACACTGAGCCTCCTCTAATTCCTTCTTCAAACATTCCCATTCCTCCCAGTTCTTGACATTTTCAAGCTTTCTCATCTCTTTCAATTTCAGAGTAAGAACATAAATTTTCTTCTTGTTATCAAAACCTCTCAGCTTATTCCAGGCAGATAAGGCTACTTTGGTCTCTTTAATTTTCTCTTTCAATTGATAGAATGAAGTACCCTCTTGTGTTTGGTTCAAAGCCTGAGTAACAATATCCCAGACCCCCTGAGAAGAGATCCATCTTTTATAAAATTTTAATCTTCTCTTCTGCTTAGCCTCAGAGATCTCTGCTTGTAACATGAGCATGCTATGGTCAGAAGAACTTCGAAAAAGATTATTGACCATGGCATTATGGTATCTAGTCATCCATCCCAAAGAACCAAAGGTTGTGTCAAGTTTTTTTTTTCCACTACCCCTTCCTCACCTATTATTGCACCATGTAAATTGGTAGCCATTCATGTGTAACTCGTTCATGCCCATTTTTGCAATAAACTTCTAAAAATGATGCAGACTCCTGTTGGATCTAGGCATGCCCCCTTGTTTATGCTCCTCCATATGTAAATCATTTCAGTCCCCTAGGATGCACCACTCCTCTCCCCAATTATGCTTATCTTCTATCAGGCTTTGCCATTGAGATAATCTGACTGAAAGCTCAGTGCTCATATACACAAAAACAATCCAGCAGGGGTCATCATTAACAGAAAGCTGGTACTGAATTTGAATACAAAAATTAGAACTTTTCATTTGAATCACAGATACATTAATATCCCATCCCAACAGCAACCCTCCTCTAGTCCCCACAGGCTCCACACAGCACACTCTCTCCTCAAACCCCAACTTTCTACCAACTAACTCAGAAAATTTTTTGTTTTATTTTTTTTTTGTTTCAGATAAAAATACAAATTTTGGGTGGTGAGACTTCATAGCCTCTCGGATTTGGGGAACTGAAGAGGGGCCTCTCAAACCTCTACAGTTCCACACCAGAGCTAACATTTATCACCTTGGGGCCAATTTAGGCTGGCTACCACCACCTCTTTACCTGACAGTTTATTCTTCTTCTTCCCAGTAATTTCGCCTTCTTCATTTTGAGCTTCCTCAGTCAGCTTGATAGGATCACCTCTTCTTTTTCTTGATCCAGCTCCATGATCAGAGCTGATTTTATGGTGCTCTTGCCTAGCCAATCTGCCCACTTTAGCACTGATTCTCTTCCACGTTTTCCCCTTTTTCTCGGGGATTTAAATCTCCGGTGTCTGCTCCATCAACCCAGCCTCCACATTGTTGTGCTTAACAATAGTCTCACCCTCAGGGCTAATCTTCAAGCTCCACTCTCTATCATTCAACAATGGAACCGGATTCGCTTGTGGATTATTCTCTATCATCATGCTCAATATTTTATCACCCCCTGCTCTCGAAGAGGATGACTCTACCATTGCTAAATTAATGGGGGAAGGGACTGACTCTGGGTGTTTGGCTAAAGGAAGGTTTCTCCCTCCGTTGATTCAATTACCGTGTGGATTTGTTCTTGGCCTCTTTGCTCTGATGGTATGAAATGCTCACTTGAACGATTTATTGATGGACCACTGTTGTTACTTGTCGTAGGAGATTCAGAGATTATAAAACCATCAGCTGCACGCATCCACTCCCCATACTGCCCGACCATCGGTTCCTTCCCAGCAATATCTATTTTTATCTTTGAACAATTCTTATCCACATGCCCCAGTTTTCCACAATAGTAGCATAGGCTCACAATTTTCTCATATTTGAAATAAACTGTTACAATTTGCTCCCTCAACCTGATTGAGGACCATCTGGGCAAAGGTTCCTTCAGGTCAAGCTTTACTTACAGTCTGAGCGCTCTTCCCCCTTGCATCCCTGCTCTTGCCAGATTCACATTCCTTATGTCTTTAAAAGCTCGGCCTAGCTTTGTACCTACATCAATGCTCAGCCAGTTGATAGGGACTCCATGGACCTGCACCCAAAGCATAATCTCTCCAAAGTTGGGATGATGCTCCGATAACCCCTCTTGACATTGCTGTAACAGAAGGTATTGGTTCTCGAAGACCCAACTTCTCTCTATGTCTACTCTTAGCATAACATCTCTGTTCGGGAATAGAAATTAGAAATAGTTATGGTTGAGCTCTCGAACTTCCAGATTATTTCCCATTCTACAAAGCAGCCCCATGGTTCTCTTCAATCCCATCCAATTAGCTTTTTTATCTCCGACCACCTTCCCAAATAGACTTCGACTGCACTCTTCCGCACTAAATCGCACATCACGCTCCTCAATATCTATAATTAACTTTTTCGCTGCATCTATTGAAACACGCCCTAGCTGTTGCCCTATTTCCTCCGCCATAGAACACAATGAAATTCTCAGACAACCAGAAACACCCTCAATCAGCTAAAACTTGCCTTCGACCCTCGAAGAAGTCACTCCCCAAGGAGAAGACACTCCCAATTTGAGAGAAGTACACTCCGAGAAACGAGAGAAATTCAGGGTGATTTGGGAATAATGTGGTATGATTAGTTGTTAGTATTATTATGAGTGTATATTAAAATAATATTTAAAATAAAATAAATAAAGTTGATTTGATATAAAAGTGGAAAAGAGATATGGGAAGTGATGGTTAATTAAAATTATGTGAGTGGATGAATATTGAATTAAAATTGATGTGACATGTAAGAATAATTGATTGATATATTTAGTTATATTGATGATAGTAGAATTGTGTTAAATGTTAATTAGATTTTGAGTAAGAATTGGGTAAATTTCTAAACAAACACACTATAAAAAAATTAACAGAATCTAAAACTATTATCTCTACAAATTATCTAGCATATAATTCACATATCCCCACACTAAAACATTAAACAATGATTATAAATGTTTTGATGATGATCAAAATATCATATTTATATCATAAAATAATCATTTTTATTCTTGATGTAAATAATTGTGAGTCCTTCATTCGAACCCCTACATCTTACAAGTGATATTATATTCTAATTTGCCCCTCACTTGTGAATCAAGGTGTGATCCAAATACAACCGACTCTGATACCATGTAAGAATCGAGGGTAAATCAAGGTGCGATTCCACGCAGATGAAGCGCCCCATACAAGAAAAATCGAACTGGAGCTCAAGTGGGATTCCATCCCAAAACAAATTGGTGAAAGGAGTAGTAGCCCACTAGACTTATAAGTTAGGCCTATTTTCCCTATATAAACGACGTGGGACAACTCACAAGTAATATTCTAACAATATAAGAATCAAGGGTAAAATGGGTGGGTCCCACGCAGATGAAGCGCACCATGACAGGAAAAGCTCAGATGAAGTCCAAGTGAGTTTTATCTCAAAACTAATTGGTGAAAGGAGGAATAGTCCACTAGTCTTATAGTTTAGTTTATTTTTCTTATATAAACGATGCAGAACAACTCCCAAGTAATATTATATTCTAATAAAATTATTTTTGTGAATCGGAAATAAAAATTGCAATATAAAAGTGAATTACCCAAAAAAAAAAAAAAAAAAACCTTATAGGTTTACATGCAATCTAAATACCAGAGGAAATTTCATTACACAACGCAAGATCTATAATCGAAACAAATGATTTTTTTCTTATTTTGCCCCCATAAAATATGAATCACCTTATAAACACCAAGTAAATTGCATCAATATTGCACCAATTACCATGAACAAGTAAATTTGATTGTGAAGTAGAATTAGTATATATACATACTAACTCATCGAGACATTACTTCAAACCACACTTTAGTTTTTATTTTTTATTTTTTATTTTCATCTTTTCATAATAGTAATAATCTTAGGCTAACTCTGGAAAAAAGAGTGCAATAATATGTCCAAGCTCACTCATAGTTCATTATTATTTCCGATAGTTATTGTTTTTGTATGGATTCCTGTTTAGCATAAATATGATGGGCAAAGGATAACCGAGTTACCCGACTCGGGTCGATCTCGAAGGAAGGCTATTCGGAGCTTT